AGAGAGAGAGAGAGAGAGAGAGATTTCAACGTTTTGCTTTGTTTTTTGCGAGGAATGATCGATGAAGGAGATCGAGGAGATCGATGATGCATGGAATTTGTGATTATTTTGTTTCGGTTTTTGTCGATGTTACGAAAGTTAAATGCAATATATTCCGTGGAGATGAGATTGAATTTTATAAGAGGAACTAGGAATGTGAATTGCGAATGCAATAGAAAGTAGATGAATATCGGTATAATAGAGAATGGTGAAATTTGAGGAATAAAAGAAAATGTGAAATGCAATGAAATGAAGATGTTGTGATCATACTGATAATCGTAGATTATTGATTAGATCAATATGATTCTGAAGTAACTTATTTTTTTGAAAATTTTTATTTATTTATACTATTTTATCTGAAATAAGAAAATTTTATATACTTATAAAAATACATATAAGTAAAATAGTATTAAGAAAATAGAAAAAAAAAATTAGAATTTTAAAAATTATATAAAAGAAATTGTCACAAAGTCTGTTAAAATTAACAATTCTTATTTTTTGTCTACCTTTGTGCGTCATCATTTCGATTTTATTCGCATCGCATCAGACGAGAGTTTTACGATATTATGAAAGGACATCGCCATTGCGAAGGTGCGTGATCGTGTATGCACACCTTCAACACCTTACGTTCACTGACCGAGAACCGTGTCGATTATGAAAGTCACGCAGTTTTACTAGCTTCTTTTTTCCTCTGTTTTCCTAGCTTTTTTCCACGGCGATCTGTCATAAGTACTAACAACATACAGTCTAATTGCAGCGTGGCGTGTCGTCGATCGAATAATGAATTTTGTGTCCTCGACCGAGAATGTATTTTATTGTAACGATATAGTATGTAACGCATTCAGATGACGATGTAACGTGTTTCGGATATATATGATGCACATGTGGATTTTTATTACTGTTCTATATAAGAATTAACTCGTTTCATAGACAGTTTTATGATATTACGTGAGGTTATATGAACTACGCAACTGGTGCCACCTATATTATTAACTTGAATTCTTTCGAGCATGCGTAAAATTTCACTTTTAAATGAGCTGTTTTGACGAATGAAAATATTACATATTTTCAAATATAAAAATATCAATGATAAAAAGTAATTGGATTGATGGAAGCAAAATTTAAAACATTGAAAAGATTGCAAAATTTTTGGATTGATATGATTTATTTATATATATAAAATATGTCTTCAATTTTAGAAACAAATAGTTTAGTTTTGTTTTCCAGTAATAAGACTTTTTTTATAATTAAATAAGGAATTTCAAGCTTCTAATTGTTTATTCTCTTGACAGAAAGTCAAATTGTATCATCAGTTATAATTTACATTATTCATAAATCTATGGAATCGTGGTAAAGGAAACGAGGAAGCGTCCCACACTTTCTTCAATGATCTTTCTGACAAAAGAAAGAAAATATCTGGACGGTAAATTATGTATGACTTTATATGTCGTAATATTAATGAAACGATATGAAATAATCATTTTATTCCTTTGTCCATAAATAAAGCAATTTTTACTACGTAATATTACATCAATTTATTTTCAATGATTCTTTATTTTTCATCAATTTTATTATTTCATAAAAAGATAATTGTCGTTTGATTGATTGAAATGTAGTTATAAATTTGAATAGTTATAAATGATTTAAAATATAAATAACGAAAATTTTTATTCTTTATATAAGAATAAAAATAAAAATAAAATTTTTATATTTTTTTGTATAAATTTATTTTAAAAAAAGCAATGCATGTGAGAGAAAAATTATTGAAATACAAATAAAAAGAATAAAAATCAAACGAGAATTTAAAAATGAATTGAACTTTCGTGCAGTTATAAATTTTTTTTGTCATATATAAAGTGTTCTCACAAAATAAAAATGTCAAAAAAGAAAAAAATAATAATAAAATGTCAAAATGTCATCATAAAATGGAATTTAAATCGAAAAATCTCTTTGATTCGATACGTTGATAACAGACTAGTATATGATATTGAACTCTCATAAGTAGATTTTATATTAAAAGTATTGATTTTAGAACTTATGATTTATTATTAAAATTTTTTATTATTAAATTTCTCTATTTTTTCTTTTTTATTATTATTTAAAAATCTTTCTAGATTTTCTTTTAGATAGAGAATAAAATATTTTAAACTTTTACAAAGAAAGTTATATCTATAACTTTTAAAAATATAAGTTATTTAATTTTATTTTTAATTTAATTTTAAAAATTAAAAGTTATATCTATTTCTTAGTATCTAAAATAAATATTAAAAATTTGACATATTCACAAAAGAAAAAATTCGTCATAATAATTACAAAACTTTCTTTTCTTAATTTTTCTTCACTTTTATTAAACAAATAAAATAATTGAAATACAAACCGAAAGAAATAAAATGCCATAACCTTTAATATCTATCTCTGAATTTTTAAACACCTTATATATCATGTATAAACCATTCACGTAATTTAACGATCTTATAATAAAATTGTATTACAAATATTTTTTTCCTTGTTCATTTTCTCCGTTGTCGTATTTCATTTCATTCGAAGATAAATCTCGCTAGATCCATAATATGGAGGACACGTTCAGTTTATCCATTTAAAAGCAGAATTTGAAAATTTCGCCCGATAAAAGTTATAAATTTATGTGACGAATATGACGATATATACAACGCAAGTCTATATAGCTTGATTAAACTCACTAACTTGTATGAGGAGTTTAAGTCATACCTAACGAAAAGTCATATATGGTCTGATTTTCAAGAAAAATTCGATAGAGCAAATGGGATTTGATAAGAAACTTTTGAGAATTTCGAGAAATTCCAGATTAAATATAGTATTTCGTTTCTTAAGTCTGTTGGATCTCTGAATCGAAACATGAAATTAATACGATAGAAACTACATAGGATAATTCTATTTCAGATAAAATTAAAAAATAAAATTTTTTTCTAACAATTTTTGTTAGTCTAGAGATTTTTTTAGAATTATAATTAATTACAAAGCTCATATATAATTATATTTGTTTTTTAATATAAAAATCTAGAAAGATTGTTATTTTCCCTAAAATGTAAATTTTCCCTATAATTATTTTTAGGGATTTTTCTTTTTTTTTCGTAAAATGATTCTTCGTATTGTAAAAAGATATTAAGATTGTGAAATCAATAATTGTTTAAAAAAGTGATTTTCTTCATGATGATATGATAATATGAAAAATGACTAATGCAATTTGATCTCTAGTCAATGGTTTAAATGTTGTGTTCTCGGCTACTGAGATCGGACTGCGTCATCAGACTCGAACGTATAAATTGCCAACGATCTTTCTTTCGATCTCTTACTATGTTCTACTGCCAATTATTGCGTATGTATACATACATGATTGTCACGCAATAAAATCACATTCTCAGGTCTTTTAATATTTTGCACCTTATATCGGATCGTTGCGCATGTCAATCAAAATTTATGCAATATCAAGAATATTTATTTCTAGCATCTAAATTAACCTAAATTAAAAAAAATTATTTAATGTTAATTTTTTTACGATGCATCAAGAATTTAAATAAAAATAATTTTTGAAATATCTCTTTCTCTCTCTCTCTCTTTTGATATTTGCAATCATCATGAAAATAAATCTCATTAAATAATGAAAAAGAAAACCAAACGAGAATCAAAATTCAATGATCAAAATTAGTCTATAAAGAAGTAACATGAATAACAAGTTCATACATATTCATGAATGATGATAGCTTATAACAGGTTTCCAATTAATAAATAATACTGAATATTTAATAAAATGTTGAACTTCGATCGAACAAACGATCGATTATACATTTTTTCCATCATTATATTATTTGTTAATAACACTTACTGTTAATAAAAAAAACAAAAAAAAAGAAAAAAATAGAAAAAAGAAAAGAAAAAATGGAGTATTATTTTTATACGATCAGTCAGAGAGAATGTAAGATAAGTAGTACGATGAACCTAGTGAGAATATTTCAAGGGAAAGGTAGAATGATTCCATGATTCTTAATGCCAAGGTATATCGCGACGTGGAGTCGATAATACTGCAATGGCATTATTACGAGATATACGAAGAAATCTATTGAAACTTTTTATCTTGATTCACACATGTGAAACTTCATAATATGATGAATGTTATATATTTCTATGGAATTCGATTTGAACTGAAGTCGATATTTGAAATTTGAAATTTCAAATGTCGAGATTTGAGACTTGAGATTCCAAATTTTAATGATTTGAAAATTGAAATCTTGTTAATTATTGAATTCTTTTCTAAATATTTTTTTTAATTGTTTTATTAAGGGTCAATTGATTGTTACAATGTATTTTTATTTTACAGATACAATATATCCTCATCAGAAATCTTGTACAATAATTTATGTATATTAAGAATACAAAAACTTACAAATTTAGAATAAGATAAATCTTTCTTCAATTAACGGATTATTTAATAATTTAATATCATTAAAAACATGCAAGTTTAATTTGTTACATTAATTATATCTCTATTTCTCTTGGATATGTATACTTTAATATTAATAAAAGTAAATTTAATTAGTTATGTAATAGTTCATTTCATTTTATGCAAATATATTTATTACTAATAATACATTACTATATAAATTAAAAAAGAATGAGAATTATACATAAAAAGAACTCAAGACATTAGAAAGTTTTAAGTATGATTGGTGACAAAAGAATCACTTTAATTATCTTTTTTAGAAAAACAGATTATTTATAATGTTTGTTTTAAATTATAAAATTGCGAATTTTCTTAGTTACATTTTGAATATGAAATTGAAATATTATTATAATTTTATTCCTTTATTTTTTCTATTAACGAATCCTTTACTTAAAAAGAATTAAGTTAAAAGTTGAATAAATATTTTTAACATAATTAAAAATAAATTATTGTTATAAAAAGAATCTCAATCTCAATCTCAATTTAAACAAAAGAATTTAAATTATTAGATAATAGAAATTCACTGAGAGAATTCTCAAAAGTTTAGTCTTCGATTTACTCAATTCGAAATACGTAATTTTATCCTGATTTTATTCTTCGTAGATGTTTCACATACCCGTATATACATAATTAGATTCAAACTTCAGATACACGAATTCCAGCTGATTATCTTCTCTTGCTGTATTTTCGTTGTTACACAATTCACGTGACTTCATCTCGCCGGTACAGAGTATTGTTCGACGAAAAAATGTGAAAGAACGGAAATCGCGATTATAATTAACTCGTCTTGCGACGTTCCGTTTTTAAAAACGAAACTGTTTGCTATCTTCCGGCAAGAACAATCGTTTGAAGGCGAACAGCTGTGGACAAAATTTAATATTTTAACGAAATCTTCACCAAATCTTCATTTCGCAAACTCTTTGTAAATTCCTCTCCTTGATTTCATGATATTCAAGATATTCAAGATTTCATGATATTCAAGATTTTAGATTGTTTCAAGATATTAGATGGAAGAAATGTATAATCAATTAAATTATATAAATTAAAATCAATATCGAATTAATATGTAATTTATATAAATATTTAAACATGTTATCTGCGAATGTTTGTTGATTACTTCTTTTTGCTTCATAAATCTAATCATATAGTCTCTTTTCTAAAATTCAGAAAATAAAAGAAAAAGTTTAATCTCTAATTTCAATTAATGGTCATTAGTAAATGAAATTATTAATAAATGAATTAAATGAAATTAAACGAAAACTTACTTCTGAAAAATTGTCTTTATATCCTCTTGTATTGAGTTTTACACTTGCGACATCGAGAATCTTCAGCGTGTTTATATCCACGGTACGCGTGGAAGAAACAGGATCGTGGTTCACGGTGCCACGATCAACACCAGACTAACCTGGTACCATTCTCCATCCAGGTTGTAATATTCGACAACTTCCACCACTTTCTTGCCTTCCCTTCTGTTATGGGTACCAGTTTATGGAAATGATCTGCGCGGTCGTACTATCTCATCGTTGTTGCTGGGAATCGAAGAAGATAATAACAAAAGATCAATTCTTTTATGTTATATTAATTGGATATTTTTTCCTTTATTGATTAATATACGATATAATATCTATTGTTATTTGTAAATATCTTCTATATATGTATCTGATAATTTTTAGTATGAGATTAAATGTTTGAGATTTTCTTTATCTTCTGGTTCATAATCATGCATGTTCTGTTTTTGCAAAAATGAAAAAAATATAACTAAAATCATAATTTTTTTATTATTATATATTATGTATGAAGTAAGTAATTAGTACTTATAATTAGTACTTATATTTATATTGAATAACTTGATAAATTATTAGAATTTCTAGCAATGTTTTATTACATTTTATAAAATCATATTAATTAATAATAACATATAATATTAATTAATAACATATAATAACATTAATTAAAATTGTATAACTAAATACATATATAAATCTTGAATCAATTGAAATTTCAATTACATAATTTTAATTCAAAAAATATTATTATGTCGCAATTTTCATTAACAATTACATTAAAAGAACACATACTAATATGTTTTTAGAAAATCACTAAATATTATTTGTTTAATTGATGCACCATAAAAAGTTTTTTGATTTGCGATAATGATTGTAATAATTATCTGGGAATACATTCGAATACGCAAATAAATTTAGGTTAGATCGTGTTTTTAGTTAGAATGCAATGACAACAGTCTAAAAGAAAGTAATTCCCGCGTTCACGGATGTATAACATGGAAAATGATAGGGAATTAATAATAGTTTGAAAATATACTTCTCGGTTTATATAAGATTTTCTTACCTCTATTTCGTGTTTCATTTTTCAACTTTTAACAAACTTCCAATCGATTGATATCGATTATTTCATATAATACTATGTTAGATTGTCGTTAGTACATGAAGATGTCGCATCTGCAGAGTTTGATTTGACAAATTAATATTGTTTATTAAATTTTATTCTATTATTAAGTATGTGTTCGCATGTTTATTAATCATTAAAGGAGAAGAAATTGTTGCAAATATAATTGACAATATAATCAAAGAAAAGATGATTCCATGTATTAAAGTAAGTCAACATAATAGAAGTTTTTTTCTTTTAATTTGAAGTTTCAGTTTTAAAAAAATGAATATTCATATGATTTTTGTTTTTATAAATCCAAATTTAAAAAAATTAATATATAAATATTTATATTATTCTTTAATGAATAAATTATTTTAAAAAGAACTTTGAATGATAAATTTGTTCTATTGTCATATATATCATACTTTTATAGGTTAGAAGTTTTTTTTCTTCTTTATCTTTTTAACATTTTTATTTTTTATAAATGAAACATCTATATTAATCTAGATGAATTTATTATTTTTTCGAAGTATAATTTTTGAATAAGTTAATTATGTAAATATGTATTTTACATTCAATTGTGGAAATATAATTATAAAAAATATGTATAATTATATACAAATATTTCGATATACAAGAGAATTACAAGGTACAATGAAATAATGATTTTATTTTCCCATAGAATGTAAATTTATTGTTGATAAATGCATTTAATAGAAATAGAAATCTTGAGATCGGATTTCGTGGCGCAAGAACATGATGTGGCGCAAATTCGATTGAATTAGAACAATTATGATTCTTTCAAAGGTTCCTGTTCTATTGCTTGCTAAATGACTTGATATTCATTGAAAGATTATAAAATATTTCTATTTCTTTTTACCATTTAAAGCATAAATGAATAAATAGTAAATATTATATATATAATAAATTTTAGTTAATATATGTAAATATATTGCAAGTTTTATTTTTGACTTTGAAACGATATTTTCATATTAATTGATTCTCATTAAAGCTATGATTTCATTTAATTATTTTTTTTATTATCTTTATCTTTCATACGATCGTATTCGATATAAGTATAATCTGGAAGAGGAACGTCACCATTGCTAAAACCATAACTAGCCAAATTATGAAAGGATCGAATATTAGGTTCTTCGTTTGCATAAATTAGCTCAGATGTCCTCGATTCTTTTTCCTGGTGAGATTAAAAAAAATGATTTTAATTTTGTGTTGAACAATTACAGTTAGTGCTAAAACGGCTTAATATAGACACATTTATTATATAAGCATTAATATATTTTTTTAATATATATAATTCAATTTTAAATTTTAAATATTAGACTTATTTATAAAAAGTACCTGTTTTTGATTTAATTTTGTTGTGATGGTTGTCGAAATTATTTGATTTTCAGTAAAAATCTTATTAAATTTTTCTTTTTTCAAAAACTCTGCATCATATGAATTGCTATCATTATTAAAATTTTTTCCATAAAATTGCTATATGGTTCAATTTCCAAAGATTTAGATTTATCAGATGATTCGTTTGCAACTTTTTCGTTATTTAGAATAGACGATTTAATTGAACTTTCATCGGAATTCAGTTCTATATCTTTGTTCTCAGCAGCGATTTCTTCATTCACGATTTTCATTAAGGTTTCTAAGTAAGGCAAAAAATTTTCATTGTTCGGTTCAAGAAAGAGATTTAAATCCATTTCTTCATCGTTCTCGTTGTCTGTTTGTTGCAATGATAATCCTAAGTTGTCATCGTTCATTTTATTCGATTGATTAGATAATTCAATGTTATCTGAAATAAATACATACTTTCTCAAATCTAACAAATTAGTTTTAATAGATTTATTATTTTTGCAACTAAAAATTGAAAATACTTCCAAACTCACAATTGTTAATTAATTTTTAATTTCACAATTATTCATAAATTACATTAATCTTCTTCTTCTTCAACAAAACTATGAAAAAATTAAATTTTAAAATCTCTATCTTATTTTTTCTTTTTATCTTTTTAATCAAATAAACATGCTACAAATTTTTTGTCACAAACATGTTAAGGAAAAAAAAAAAAGAATTAGATCGAACAAGTGAAAAAAAAAAGATTACATGTTTACATCATCGATGCAGACTTTCTAAAAATACCAAATCGATTCTGTCCCGCTATCGAACGGAAATTAATGAAAGTCAGTCAACGTAACGGCATCATATATGTAGCCAATTAAAAGAATCGCCGATCAAACCGGATTTTTCAAGTTATCACGATATTCACGAAATTCTTTGTTCGTAACTTATTTTTTTTTTTTTTTCGTTCGAGTTGTATACGACTCCACAACTCTTTTTAATCTCGAAATATTGGATTGACGATTCGTTTAATTAATGGTTTATGGAGCATAACGGTATAAATACAAAATAATAAATCATATTTTTAGACATTTTTCTGCGATCGATTTCAAACGTCCATACATCGAGACTCGATATTTTTAATTTAACGAGTACAATGATATATAAGTAAAATCGCTGAGTTAAATTCGAATCTCAAAAGAAGAAATAATAAATTTGAATTATGGAAATTTTGTTTGATCGAAAATTTTTTAACTAAGAATGATTTAATAAATAGAAATTCGACGTGTAGAAATTATTGTTACGAGAATTTATTTCTTCGATTATAAGAATTAAAAGAAAAATTTTTTATGAATAATTAATATATAATTACTTCGAGTCATATATATGTTGATAAAAGTTTTATGTTAATAATTATTATCGAACATTTGCATTCATGTAAATCATAATGAAGATGAAGAGAACTTACCTAATTTCTCGGGGGAGATATTATCTCTTGGTTTGAGATTGTCCGTGAAATTTGTCCGACCGCCATCATTAAGGGATGAAAATTGACTTTCTTTATCCCTAGATACGTCTTCGTTATCACGAGTTATCGAAGTCAATTCGAAGTTTTTATCTTGTTTCTCATTTTGTGGAATTTCATGCGAATTCTGTACAGATAAAACTTATTAAATAATATTTATTGATCATTGAAGAATTTGTTTTCATTATTGAGAAATATAATAATAGAATTATTATTATTACGTATTAATAAAAAGTCATTAAATTTTATCAATATTAATCAATAATTTTTTTCTATATTCTTTCATATATAAAAAATGTGATTGATTATTTTTCAAGCAAAATTCGTACCTATAGAAACTCTATAAAACTTACGTCTTCGTGATCTTCTTTAATAGCCTTCTCATCGAAAGTCTGTGGCGTGTTTTCAATCGGGGCGAATTCCGCAGACTTGAGAAACTTTTCAAACAAATCAACAGGGACATCATCAAAGTACTGCGGCTTACTCGTCAATTTTTCCTCTTCTGTAGGAACAATTGAATCTTCTTCCTTAGAATGCATTTCTTTCTTGGGTAACTTCTTCTCAGTGTCTTGGAACTCAGTCCATAGAGACGGTAATTCGTCTTTGGTTAATGATAAATTTTTCGGTTTTTCTGAAACATTCTTTGAAAACAATTAGACAATTGAAATGAAATTCGATAGATAATTGGAATTAAAATTAAGATGATTATTAATATAAGATAATATTAATTCTAATCTTTTTTTCATTGATTTATAATATTTCAAGATAAAACTTTGAACTTCGAGATCGATCGGAAAAATTCGCATAGAATCGGGTAAAATCGTAACGCTCGAGATGTTTCTCCGATTCTACCCGAACTTTTACGAACGAACTCGAGTCTAGTGACTTTAAAATCTACTTAACGTTCTCATTCTCTAACGTTTATCACAAAGGTATGTATAAATAAAAGAGATACTCACGATGGAGAAATTATTATTTCGTTCCTCATATATTTTTTCATTATCCGAAATTACTTTATGATTTTGCACATTAGGATCGTAATCGATTATTTGAGATTTAGTTAAATCTTTCACGCTCTTTACAGGAACTACAAGGTATTGTTGATCATGAGTATTTTCAATCTTTGGGGTTGGCGACGATAAAAATTGATTTTCTCCGTAAGAAGAATATTTTAAAAGATATTTGAGAATCAGAGAAAGATTAGATTCCTTTTGATTCTTTGAATTAGCGATCTCCAAAGGGGCATAGGGTGGTGTCAAAATCTTGTTTGGAATAAGAATTTTCTCTAGAATGCTCGTTATGTTTCTTTGTTTCAAAATGGATTCGATTTCTTTTATCTCTCTGTTCAAATCATCCAGAGTGGATTCATTCTGAAATAAAATTAACTTCTTTTTTGAACGAATTCTTTAATCTTAATCTTATTATCATTGTACTATAATTAAAAAGTCCGAGTATCGAAAGAAAAAAAATTTGAAAAATTGTAGCGATGGAATATTTTATTATATTTATTGCTTGAAAATAAGCTTCCTATCTCATTTCTCTTTGTAGTAGATTTACTTTTTGAAACATTTCATGAACCGTCCTGTACAAGCTATCCCATTTTTCATTTTCACCTAATAATATCGCTTCATTTTTATCACGAACGATTCATCTCACGGCTTACGCGTGCATATTGCACGCCATAAATTTCGGTCCAGCCGAATGATGGAACTCGTATAATTTAACGATCTGCACGTATAATAAAATGCAACTCGCCATCATCGTTGTTGTCACGAGTAACGATCGCTAATTCATTCATTCCATTTCATTGAATTTTTTATCAAAATCTTCAACCTTCTATCGATATACTTACCAAGGTATCGCGAAATGGATTTTCCACAAGCGTAACGGGTTGTTCGCGTGCTGAAAATATCGGATGTCTCTCGACATCCAGTTTCGATGCTTGCAGCCATTTTCGAAACTCTTCACCCCGAGATAACAGTATTGTTTCTAGCCAATCGTTGTACGCGTCATAACCAACTGTGTTCTTTATAGATCGGAGCCAATTTTGAAATTGCTGGAAATAAAAAACTTTATCGAAATGTGGATTTTGCGAGGAAAATGAATTTTAATGGATCGATAAAATGGAGGAATAAGGATTTGATTTTGTATCGTAGAAAAGAAGGTAAGAATTTGTCAATGTTTAATGGAATAATGGATAATTTAATTCTTTTTTGATGCTGTTTAAAATCTTTAATTTTGAAGATTTGGAAATTTTTTTTATAGTTCGTATTGTAAAGATAATTTGATATTTTTAAATTTCTTAATTTTTTTAGCATGGAATGTAATGAAATTTCGTATTGTAGATATTAATTTTTTTTTTTTTGTTTAATTTAAAACTTTGAAAGTTCATAGTAAGAAGGGATATTATAGAAAATGTTTTACAGAAATAAACTTAGAAAGATTTTTAATTTTGAAGTTATCAAAGTTTTTAATGAGAGAAGAAATAGAGAAATCCATATTACCGAGATTGTTAGAAATTTTCAATTTTTTTTTTTTAATTATGCAACTGAAAAATTAATACTTGAACATTAACCTTGAAATCTTTTGTTTTTCTTTCTTTTTTTTTTTTTTTAAATGAAATCATGTAATTTTTCAATGCATCAACGTTGATCAATTCATTTTCGTTCGAATAAGATAATACCTCAATGTCAGCTTGAGAAACATCGTTTTTGTGTTCCAGAGATATCCTTGCGAATGAAGAATCATTCACTGACACTTTGCAACTTCTTTTAATCTTACACCCATCTGTTCCACACGGTTTTATAATTTCTGCGATACAAGTTTGCATTTGTGGACACATCCATCCGCGACAATGTTTATTTTCTTCGTTTTCTTCGAAGAATAAAAAAAAAAAAGAATGAATTTTAATTTAGATACACACTATTATAGGCTAGCCAAAAAAATTAATTTGCATTAGTCTGATGCAAAAAGAATGCAACAGACATTGTTTAAATTTAAATTTCGTTTTACAACAATATTTTTAATATTTTTTATCAGAGTTATATACTTTTAAAATTCAAGCTTTTGCAAATTATTCATAGTGATCCTAATTAATTTTACCAATTTTTTATTAGATCAATTTTAAATTCGAAATTTTCTTTTGACAATTTTTTTTGATTATTAATAATTAATTCCTAATTAAGAATTGTAAAAATTCAAAACTTTCTAAAAAAAATTTTACCCTTTTCAACGATGCAATCTGGAGTGTGTTTGCATGGTGGATTTGAACAATTGTTCTCAGGTCTTCGTAAGAAGCATTCATACTCTGATTGGCAACCAAGAGTACGACATTTTCCAAACCAAATTTGCATTTCTGTGAAAAAATATTAATATAAAATGCTTAAACGTTTTCGAAAATATGTGTTAAATACAAATACAGTTGTTAAATACGGCACCTTTATTTTTGATACAGCTTCTTAACAATTTGCAAGGAGGTTCAGCGCAAAACGACTCTCTTAATACGCAATGGGTCCCTTGGGGACACTTGAACCCGGCACAAGAAGGTGGTCCCTCGTGGTACTCTTTCAGAGACACGCATCTTACTATCTGTTGCTCACATTCTAATTGATATTAAATTCAGTACTTATTCAGTTTTCTGGTATGTAACATAATTTATCATATAACGTGAATGTAACTTTTTATTTTTCATTAATTATTTAATTACAAAATATTTTTTTTCAGAAAACTTGAAAACTTGATCAGTTTCGTCTTGGTTTTCTTATTCGAGATATTTTCAACTTATGAAATATGAAAATGTGTACGAACTCACTCTCGTCCCAATGACAACGGCGAACTTTCATCATGCATGTGTATCCATTGGTGCAGTATACCGCGTCACAGCTAGAAGGACCCTTCAAAGATTCTCAAAAGACACGAATGCGCATAAAAATAAGGAATAGAAACTTACATATAATGAGAAATCTTTCTACAATAATTTAATAATTTATCTACAATATGGGGAGAATTTCCATTAATCTCAACTCATTTATTCGACGTAAAATTATATTTTTTCTATATTTTGTCGTACTTTCTTAGATTAAAAAAAATATTCTATTTAAAAAAAAGAGAAATGATTCTCATTCTCAAAGGCGTAGAACAATTTCCATTGTCTCTAAAAAAAAAAAAAGAAAAACTTGAAGTAAAGTAAGAACAATTAAAATTTCTCAAATTCGTTTACTTTCGTAACACGATCAATCTCCAAATATTAAAACCATATTTCTTTTATATTTCAGATTTCCTTGAAAGGATTATCCCTTAGAGCATCTCGTAATACAGGTTCCAGAGGGATGCATATCATCCAGGAATTTCATTTCTCCTTTGCATCGAATAATCCAAAATCTACCGCATCCCTGTACAAAGGGATCAAACATCTCGACGCGAGACAATGGATTTACAACTTAAACAACTGTTTCAAATCCATTTACAAAATTGCATCCACCGTTAATCGTTCTTTGTGCGCCTCGCTCCGCGCCCATAATTAAATTTCATCGATTAAGATTAAGTCGTCGTCGAGACGCTTACCTGTACGAGATTTCGAGCAGTAGAGCATGGTGGGACAAGGTGGATTTTTGCATCGAAATTTTCTGTGTACGCAATGCTCGTCCTCCTCGCAGTGCAGGTACGGGCATCCTCGATGAACAGGTGCTTGGATCAATTCTATGTATATAGATTATTATAGATCGTCATAATTCGTTAATTTTGTTAATCTTTGGGAGAATATTTTGGAAAATTGAATCTTCTGTTGTCACATTTTTTTAAAATTTCGTCGATTTTTAAAAGGACAAATTTTGAGAAATTAATTTACGTATGTAAGTATAAAATGGATTGAAAATTTATTAATCTATTGCTTTACGTTTCCGGTATAATGTTTTATCAAAAGTAGAATATTTAGCAAAACAATAAGAAGATATAAAAGAAACAGGTGAGAAGACGTTTCAATAATTATTTTTCAATTACTTTTAACAATGGAGAATATCATTATGCATGGAATTTTGTTTATTTATAATTTTCTTTATGTAAAGTGGAAATTTTAAAAATTTAAAAAAAATCGGAGAACCGAATGAACTCACCTTTCCCGAAAAAAGCCTGAAGATGAACAACCATGATCAATAGCAAGAGAGAAAATAGTGTGAAGTATGTGAATTCGATATACTTTGGTTCCATAATGATTGGAACATGATACCGTACGTCGTTCGATGGCGACTGCACCTGAATCAAAGCAATCGAAGCAATTGATATGGATAAATTGTGTTTCGATTTAACCTGAGTAACTGGAAACTGAAGAGAACAATCGGTCAAAAGCTTACTCACTCGATGCACTATAATAGCTATTCATCATCTATCTATGAAGATTATATAACGAGTAAAAAATTGGAGACAAATATTTTTATAAATTAGAATAATTTGATATAAATTAATTTTCAAATTTAAAAAAAGACTAATATATTAATCTAAATTTGACTATATTATCAGAAAATAAATAAAATCAGAAAATGAGTAATAAAATTGAAAATTGTTAGTATGATATATATATATATATATATAAAGATTAAAATGAAGACAAAAAATAAAAATTTGAAATAATGAATTATCTCTCATTTTCCTTATCTTAGGATTAAAAGGTAGAGTTAGTTCTTGAAAAAGTATTTTTGATAAATAAATTTTACGACCACTGTAAAGTTATAGAAAATATTCGACTATTTATTTGTAACATGTTTAAGTATTTTATACATTAAAAATTAACATATTGGAAAGCATATAAATTATGCAACATTGTAGTAGTTTAAGATAATACATGTTTAACATTATCTTGTTCATTACAGGAACAATTATTTATTTTTTTTTTTATATTATTTTCTAATTGCATGAATATTCATAGCTATGACAGTAAGCTCGTGTTATATTAATAATATAAATTTTTTATATGCTATTTCAATATAACATTTATCTATAAAATTATTAAATAATAAAACGAAGAAACTAAGTTTCAATGTCTATTTGAAGATATTTTATGTACATTATGATAATATAGTAATTTATTTAAATTAATCAAAATACATTAAATAAAAATTTTTTATCTAATTTTTTAAAAAAATATACATACGATATTTTTAATATCTTTTTAAACAAATTTTTTAAATTTTATTTAAAGCCATAATCAAGCACGTTCAATTACACCGACTAGATATTTCATGAAAATCATAAATTCATAAAGAGTATAATTTTACGTCATTTTTAAATAAATTACAATCAACAGTTAATAACGTTTCAAACTTTCATATTCGTTATAAAATATTTATCTAGTCAATCTTAAACAAGATACTTCGATCATGGCTGCTATTTTTATAACTATAATCAATTCACAGTCGTTGAGATACATATATAAAATTAATTCATTTCTTTTTCGATTCAAATCAATGAATTACGAACAAACGCTGAGAAATATTCTTTGCGATTGATATACAACCTGCTTGATTAGTTTCCATCAAAGACACGATCGATTTTCTATACACTAATATACCGCACCATCAATAAGTAACAAGAAATTTTCCATTTGATTGATATATACATAGACACAATTCTATTTCAAATTTTTTTTTAAAATAATTAGTTAATTTCTGATAAATCTCTCTTAATATTATTTTGAGGTTTTCTTGATTCGATTTCTTAGATTTCTCAAAGAAATCAATTTTTTTTCATAAAATGATCCTTTTGATTTTTATAACAAGTTTTACTATTTCGTTAATACATCACATATAAATCATGAAAAAGTTTCATTTTTTTGGAAATAATTATTTAGTTATAGACTCTACAATATGATTCTACAATACTAGAAAAAAAGTATTTATATTTTTTTCTCATTTTTTTTGCAATAAATTTATACAAACAATATAATGTATAATAAAATAGTAATACAAGAAATTCAAGAATTTTAGAAAAAGAAATATATTTGTACACTTGATTCAAATGCGAAATTAAATACGAAAGTGCACGAATATTTTGACTGTAAAATTCTCGAATTTTTTATATCAAATTATTGCAAAAAAAAAAACTATAAATATAGATACAAATATATTTTTTGATCCATTATAAATTTATGAAAAATAATTTTCCATTAATAATTAATTTTTTTGAAAATAATTTCTAGATCTTTCTAAAAACTTCTACAATTCCATTTATTATCATAGATATCACGAAACGAATACTTCCAACCTGGAGAGCAAAGTAATTCCTTGATTCATAGCCAAACGCGACCAACTGTCATGGTTCGTTACGTGTTGCTCTTGACTCGTAATTGTAATAATCCGGCTAAAGCACTCGTGAATCCTGCATTGTAATCCAAAGTGACTTCTGTATATACGTAATCCTCTCTATGATCGTGAAACTTGTCCGCCTCGTCAGGACCTGAGACCAGGGCGCCATATAGGATTTGAGGATTTGGCGCGTCTTTGTCGAATTCGGACCATCCACAAATGGCAGGTCTATCGGGACATGATGATGCAGCATGGTGTGGTTGTTTTGGAGGATTTCGACCCCATCCAACTACGTAACTTCTACCTGATTAAGAAATTCCATAAACTTCCACTTAATTGTGATTGCAGCTGCAATTAATCGAGAATTTTGCAGTAAAAAAAGTACAGATTTATTTTTCAATTATGGGTAAATTGAAAGACTTTTTATAAAATTACTATTTTGATTTAACGTAAAAAGAAAATATTGATAAAAAAATATGCAGAATGTTAATATATTTGTAAAATGGCTTTAATAGGTCGATTCTACGAATTAAATTAAACAAAAAAAATTATATAAAAAAAACTGTTCAAATTTATTTATTACTTATAAATATTTAAAATATTAAAATATTAGAAATATTACTTATAAATATTAAAGTTTGTATTAGATGAAGTATAAATAGAAATAAAATGTCATCGTTTCGCATCAATTTTATAGGTTATGAACTTACCGCCACCTCCTAACATATAATAAATTTGTTGCTCGGCAAATTCACGATATTTCTGGGAATCTCCGATGCCGGATGAGTCGGCAGCCTCGAGGCAAACGAATGCCACATTTGCTGCGTGACAAAGAGTGCCAAACTTGTCAATGTAGAGCAATCCTTTAGGTGTACGTTTTTGTTGGTACACTGAGAAATCGCAAAAAGCTCGTGCCGCGTTCTGATATTCCGGCTGGCCTGTCATCTGGGCTAATAAAATCTATAAAAAAACCAACGAAAACTAATAAAATTAATTTTAACAACATCAAATAGATAAAGATGATCTTTTATATTTTAATTTATAAATTTTGTTAATTATAAATTTACCTGAACTCCAGCAACTTTTTTATTATAAAAAAATTCATTGGGTCTCTCTTTAAGATGGAAATGTTGGTAATGATGCTCGGCTTCTTCAAGATACATCGTATCGTTTGTTGCTTTGAAAAGCCATACGGCTGCCCAGGCCAATTCATCGCCATAATCGGTGCTCTCATAATATTGAGCTGCACCACGAATTGCTTCGTGATAAAGTCCACGATATTTGCTAGCGAACTTGTATAATTCCTTCGCGTGTTTCAAGCAGTTGGCGCTATATTCTGGATCGTAGTTACGGAATACAATGCTAGAGGCCGCGAGAGCAGCCGCGGTTTCACCTGCTAGATCAGAACCTAAGAAATTATTTTGAATTAGTGTAATAATTATAAAAAATAATAAAATTAGTGTTGTAATGATATTATTTGTGAAAAAAATCATTGTGTAAATGTGAAAGTGAAATGAATGAAATGAATGGTGTGATCATGAATGAAACAGAAGCCAGTGATCAACTCTATCAAGGTTAGGTTAGATTTCAAAAGTTAAACATTCTTATAATAATTACATAATAGAATTTCCATTTCATCATAATTATTTTATTTCATTCTATATTTAAAGAATATTTTTAATTATAAATTTTTTTATATAAAACAAAAAATCTTCAGATTTTGTTTATTTAATAATGAATATGCTTAATATTCTATATTGCTATATAAGTTTATGTTACATAGCTACATTTAAATAAATATTTCTGCATATTCGCTATCAAATAAGTTAAATAGTTACGAGAAATACGACTTGCGATATCTGTTTGACGAAAGTTTCGCGGAAAATTATGAACTTTCGGTAAATTCATGTTATACTGGTTGCTTTCTCGAAACTGTGAACTCGGTAAAATTCGCTCATTATATTGCCTGGGGTTCATTTCAAGTTAATAATATGTAGTATATTTGCGTATATTGAAGAGGATTTTCCTTAAAAGGATTTAGTAGAAATACTGAATAGTTCATAATAGAACTAAAACTTTTACAAAGTATTTTAATTAATAGAAAAATAAAAAATTATTCATTTTAATTTAAATTTTAATTTAAATTCTAACCTCACTTTCAATTCTTTATTTTTACGAAGAATTAATTTTAGCTGAAAAATTATTTTTTGAATTAATATTTGAATTTAATGAAACAAAAGTTATATAAATCCATTTGAGCTTATTTTAAAGAATATTTTTGGCGAATGATGTTCGCAAGACATGATTATGATTGGGATTGTATGCTGGATTATTAGATTATTGAAATTTTAATGTTACATTATCATACCAGGATGATCCGGATCGATTTTGTAGGCAGGCCTAGTAGTATTCAGTTCTTCTGGTCTTCCCCAAAACGTGTGATCCAATGAAAAATCACCAACTTGTCCATAAAAGACATATTCGCTCACATGACATTTAATAAAGTAATCGGTAGCCCATTTAATGGCTTTACGAAGTTCGTCGAGTTGACCAGCTGCGTTGTAAGCTTCCGACCAGCTAACAGCACCCCATGCTAGTAGCGTAGTTGTCGAAGCCATTGTAAATCCGAATTTTACAAAATCGCCGGCTAAAATATATTTACAATTTTGTAATACTTTAAAAAAGATAATTTCATGAACATTAAACTATTGCATACATAGATTGCTTGTCTATGTACAGACGTTTTCAAATACAAAATTAAATTTTTCGCATCTCGATAAATAAAGATCAATTAACATTTTTCTACATAAACTCTTTTTATCATTTTAACGTTTAGAATCACTCATATGAAATATCTATTACTACATGTTTTGTAACTTAACAACTTTTGTAAGTTGTTAAGTTAAGTTAAGCATAAAATTTCATCTATAAAACTTTATTTCCAATAATTGTGTCTTCCTTTGATTATTCTATCATCGTTTAATAGATCGAATTCGTAGATAATTATTTCCAAATACCATCGTAATAGCCTCCGGTCAAATCTTCTCCATTCAGTCCACGATCGTCGAGGGCCGAGTCTCCTCTCCATGGGATTCGATTATTTTCAGGGAG